CGCGAATTTACTGACCGGAAGGTTCGCGGTTCGAACCCGACTTCTGCCTCTCGACCTCCCCTGTCTAGGCTTGGGCAACCTGACAGTATCCCAGCCCTCGTGCCTCCTTCGGGTGGCATGGCAGCTAGGCACCGGAAGGTTGTAACAGCTGAAAGATTTTTTACTAGTAGGCCATGAAATTGGACTGCCTTTGCATCCTGTATTTAGGAAAGTTTCCGAGCAAGAAACATGGTCTAAGATCTATCTGTATCCATGTAAACCTCTACACCGACCTGCGTTCATTTTGCATTCTGTTATTCGATTGTCGCCACCCTCCTTGTTGAGAGGTACTGTTTTTATAAGCGGCTAGTTTTCTGAATATCGTCAACTTGTGGAGTCTGTCTTAAATTCACTTTTCGACACCGTTACGTAGAATGGGTAATAAAGCGTCCGGCTGTGGTACCCATTACCAATGTCCGTGTTGACAGAGGATCCACTGAACTTATCTTGTACGTCAAACCGATGCAAGAAGAGCGAACGTCATTCAGGGAACCCAAAACTAGCTATGATATGAGATTAAAATTCACGTCTCGAAAATGGCTGGACAAAATTTAGACCTGATGCTGTGAATAGATGTGTCAAATTGCTGGATGCTCAGTGGCCACGACGTGAATTTACTGACCGGAAGGTCCGGACCCAACATCTGCCTTTCGATTTTTACTGTCTAGGCTTGGGCAACCTGGCAGTAGCCCAGCCCTCGTGCTTCCTTCTGGTGACATAGCGGTTAGGCACCGAGAGCTGAATGGCGCCACTCTGGGCAAGTAAGAAACTAAGTGACCCCGAAGAGCATCACCATCGTTGACAGCGATACACCAATAATACAAACTGATTCTCAACTGCCATGAGGGAAGGAAGATTCAGTAAAGAGGGAAAGGAGGGGGACAGGGTGGGAATTTAGTGCGAAGTCATGTATCCCTAAGGGAAATGGTCAAGAATAGGGTGTGCGCCTCGTTGGACAGCGGCAAAACAGATACATTTGAGCATCTGTCGAAGTAAGACGCCATCAGCAGGATTGAACCGGCGTGCTTGGGGAATCCCATCCGACATAAGCCGACACAGAATGAATTTTAGCACGGCAGTTCGGTTAGGAAATGGCAACGTGTGCGCTGCTAGGGTCGTTCAGTGACATGCCTTACATGATTTCCAACCAGCTGCAAGCAGAATGAATTTTAGCACGGCAGTTCGGTTGGGAAATGGCAACGTGTGCGTTGCTAGGGTCGTTCAGTGACATGCCTGACATGATTTCCAACCAGCTGCAAACAGGGTCATGTGGACCCTAGCCAGGAAGGTGCGAGGATCCCACAGCACTCAACTTGACCGTAGACGTTTCACGTTTCCATGTCATGACCTAGCCTTTGTGAAGTTTTCGCCAAAAATCGCTTGAAACAGAAAGCAATCCTTTCTTGGGTAGACAGGCATACGTTATCACCGTTATCAACAGATCGTAGAGCAGGCGTATGACTAAGTAGATGGGATTTTACAAGAAAACTGGGCCGATCAAAAACGGTAGCGCGAAGTTTCCTGACGAATACTTCGATATGGTCTTTGGAATACTCGGGTGTCTGACGCAACAAAAATGAGATTGCTGGTCTCATTGGCAGGTCAGGTGAAGTTACCGGATAGACAAGGTTTCGTTGCGGGAGGGTGGAATAAATTAGACATCCTCGTTCAAATGCATAGCTATACAGAGATGTGAAGTACGCGGAAGGGGAACATACTTGTGGTCTGAGAACTCAGAAAAGAACATGGCGAACGTTGACTTGATGAGTTTAGGCTTAGAAAAGTTAGGGAAGACGGAGGATATTAGAAGAATTAGATAATTCAGGTGGACACTTAACCGGGTGGCAGGATTGAAGGATGTAGAGGACAGAAACCGATCCGGATTCCAGGTGAATCTCTCGTTTATGATGTTTTTAAGCGAAACTGGTCGTAGGCTCATAAGTGAAGCCAATCTATGCTGAAAAGCCGAGAAGCACTGTACAGCTGCTGTTTCATCCTTATTGGGAATCATCAGCAGTACGCATCTCACCAAACTCCGAAGAGTCTCGAACCCGCGACCTCCCGGCTAGTAGTTTGAACACTTAATCGTTCGACCACGAGTGGCTGATCAGCAGTGTGATTAACTCGCACTCGGGTGTCCGCAAAAGGGAGGTGAATGAACAACTTTGCATACACGGCTTTACAGATCAGGATGAAGTCCAGACGAAGTACACTAAACAACACTTATGGTGGCTATAGTTGATCACTCCGATTATCAAATAGCTCGAAATTAGGACCGGGTTTCTACGGAAAAGCGTTCCTTTGCAACAGTAAAGTGGCGTTAACCGGGTGTGCGACCGAATTTTCCAGTCGAACTTCTTCGAGGACTAGGTCTACCTGATCAGCCTAAAAAAGGGGTGAGACCAGTACTGCGTTGTCTAACGGTCTACATTATCCTTATGAGTAGTGATGTCGCAAGGAGGTGGAGAACTGGATGAAGGTCGTCGAGATGAATCAATCAGAACCATTTCATTCAACTTTGCTGAAGATCGAAAAAACACGAGTCATAAATACTGATTGCATGAGAATGAATGTTCTTCTGATACTAACAAATTCGTTGGTCTTACGGTTGTCTACAACTCATGGGCCTTCGCAGATGGACCTGCTCCTGACAGAGGTGGTGTAGTTACAACACAGTGGCCTTCCAAAAAGGTGTGCTGTTTGCAAAAATCCAAATTAATTCTTAGGCCTGGATGGGATAAACAAGTGTGCGGACACTCGTCAACAAGTACAAGTGCTTTTGTGGGTTCCAATGCAATCACGACATGTGACCACGAAACACGTGTATTTCATCAGGTCGATGCACTTTGCATGGAACGTGCTTACAACAAAAACAACAATAGTGAAACATGTGTACTTTTGACCAGCTGCAATCGGCAGCGGTTTGGTTGGACAAGCAAACACACACAAAAACTGGTGCTCAAGGCTGGAGCTGAAAGAAGTTCACGTGTCTGTGCAAGACCGAAGCGCACATACACGACGGAGCGCGATCGCAAGCTGAATGGCCAGAACGAGGCGATGGAGCCACGTGACCCTAGCTATGAATGGTCTGTGAAAGACTGAAGGCCACCGCTGCCTAGGGTGCGGTGGCCGTAACAAAATCGCGCACGCCACCATGCGCGAAGGACTATTGTGAAATGCTGTGCTCCCAGGGCCGACAGTCCTGCACTACAAAGCAGGGATTGGCATATTACGTGAGGTTGTAGACTTTAAGAGAAGAATGGGCGTAGGGTAGCCAGTTGTGCAATACCATATGCGGGCAATTTCTGATGGACTGCTCTTCGACAGTCGACGACCGGTTTCGCTCCTCTTCGGGCTGTCTCTTCAGGTGGGCGCAATCCCCGAGTGGTCTACTTGAGCCCAAATTGGACTGTTTTCAGAAATACACCTCATTTGCAAATCAATTTGGTTTCCACGAGAGACTCAGCTGAACTTCTCGTTTGTGACATTCTACAACTGAATGTGCTGAACANACACGTTATGTGCTCATCACGGGCAAGCTGAATACAGGAAACTACTCACAAGGCTGCTGAAAACTCTTCGACAGCTCACGACCGGTTTCGCCCTTCTTGGGGCTCATCAGGTAGGCGCAGTCCCCGAGTTTCCGTCAACCTTATGTTCTACTTGAACCCAAATTGCAAGAGATTAGCGAAATACACTCATTTGCAAAAGCAGCACATTCAGTTGATTAGAAACATCACAAACAAGAGATGCAACTGGGTTTCCGGTGGGTATGTCACAAAACCAAATTTATTTGCAAATGGGTGCTAAACCGTAGATAGTTGTTCACCAGACAATCCCATACGTAAACATCATGTTTCCCTGAATTGTGCCTGAACAATGTTTTCCGGGATCATAAACCATTTTGTCTGATTCAGCAGCGTTTGTCAGTACCGTGAAAATCCGCCACATGTTCAAACATTATATTGAAAGAAAGATTACCTTAGGGAGACGGCGTAGCCAAACCCGAAATATCAGTTCTCCCAGGATATCTTATCACCCACTTAACCCTGCACTGACGATGTCACCTCGATTGGTGATGAAACGTTTGCAATCCAACTACAAAGCTCGGAGAACAGACCAACAACCAAACAGCGCATCCGAGCTACCTACATTCCACAACATTGCTAATATCTTATCAATTCCTGTCATTTACGAGTTCAATAGACAAACGAACTAATTTTCATTAGTAGTATATGTTCACATGCAAATATTTGTTGGAACGGTGAGAAAGCGACTTTTTGTCAGTGATAGGCAGGTTCGAATCCTGAAACCACCAAAACGACTAGACTTGAGGGGGGGTCACCAACAGTTTGTTCCTTTAACTGTTTTTCGTCTTTATTTGGTTCCGAAAATAAGCAATCTGTACTTAAATTGTTGAACTGGTGCGAATGAAGTGAGGAATTTTCCGGTATTTCTAGTGTTAGCGAATAGCAACAAAGGTGGATGGCTGGAAAAAGCCAAAGAGGTGATCGGTATTTGATCTATCATCATCATCATCATCGTTGTCAGCTGTAATAACCACGTACTTGTCGTACAGTGCTTGTAGCTGCCGCAGTTTCGTTCACCAAGGGTTTCAAGGGGGGAGGCAGCTGCGCATTGCAGGCGGGAGATGATGAATTAATGCATAAATCCAGCGCTGTCAAGTGGGGGGGGGTAGGAAGGGAGCTATGCATTGAAGGCAATAGATTGGATGCACGAGCGCCATTGAGGGCGCGACTGGGCCACGTCTGACAATGTCTCTAACCATTGATGTGGTCCGTTTCGGGGTCCTCATCCAGGAAGACCTATCCTGGCAGAACAGTCACCTACGTGACGGAACTCTCTAGAGGAATGACTTCGTCCATAAAACAAAGCGGTTCCTATGGAAAGGGAAGACTCATAACCCTACAAGAACAATGGTCATTAAATTAGTTGAAAGCATGAAACAAACAGTGAAGCGTGAGGAGGTAGTCCAATGGTTGGAAACAAAAGGTGTATGGAAAAAACGCAGCGGTGGAGACGAAGGTGGAAGGGGAGACGAAGATACCTTTGGGGTGACGTGTCGATCGACTGAACAACTGAACGGGCTGGGACAAAAGGGGCAACGGAAAGGGATCTCAGATTATCAATCAGCGAAGGGTGGGACGGATGTGGAAAGCATACAAAAGAAGTTGGGACAGGGGGAGATATCTGGCACACGGAAAAGAGACGTTCGAATCACAAATAGTTTGCCATGCGAGATCCAACTGAGATTGCCCGAAACGGAAAGACCAACAAGCGACTAGCTGGATGATTGAGGGACTACTGTGTGTGTAGTCTATCACGAAGAGACTGGACCTTACCGTGGTGTGACGGTTTCCGCACCTCAGCGATCCATTGAGCTATACTGGAGAGTGTCCCGTGACACTCACAGAGTCTCCCGAACACCGCTGCCTTGCGGTTAGGCTTTTGAGCCATAGGCTTTGGTTGAGGACCCTAATCGTCCTGCTGTCTAGGTGTGGGCGCCCTGGCAGTATCCCAGCCGTCGTACAACCATGACCTACACAACTAACAATATTCTCATGCCACATCGGCCGTCGCGTGGTGCCATCAGCTGGGTCGCCTTACTTGCTGCATACAGCAGGGCGGGTAAGGGAAAACAGGCTACTGCTGACGCCTCCCTTCTTTCTCCTTCACATACTTTTTCTTCCCCCCTTCCCACCCCATTAATAACTCTCTCCTTGTAGGCCCAGCACTTAGGACTGATGACTCCGTTCGTCATGCATCGGTTTTGCGTGCAGCGTCTGCTCGTCACATGGTGCCGACATCTTCAGGAATCTCCAGATCAGTCCTCAAGCCTCGACACCCAGTCTATCTGGCCGCGTTCAATGTTCGCACCCTGAAGCAAGCAGGACAACAAGCTGCTCTTGCACTCACACTGGACTCGCTTGCCATTGATGCGTGCTGTGTCTCAGAAACGAGAATTCTTTTACGGCAGTGAAGCACTGATGTCATGCTGTCGATGATGATGATGTGTGTGTGGTGAAGCTGACCGAATCGCTCGAGACAACCTGAGCTAACAGTATTATCAATTTCCCCGGAAAACGCTAACTTCTCTGGTGAAGTTCAAACTGTCGAAATTCTTCTACGGTAATTCAAAGCGCCCCGAATCCAGAAAGAAAAACAAGGTAACAGCATGAATAACACAGCTCGACAAATCCTCGCTTTTGATATTTGGTGAAAAAATGAGACCACAGTACCGAGGACGTTCAGAGTACGACGAACAGAGAAAAAAAGGGCTAGTTGGATCACAGTATGGGACAGGTTTACGTCATAACACTGAACTTCGGTAGAGATCGATTAGTGAAAAATGACGTAAGGATTAGTTAGATTCACAAGGAATTAATGAGGGTCGGTGGCGATTGTAGGTTTAAAAAAATAAACAAATGAGAACATTTGGACTATACGATAGAGGAGGAATGTGGAGCAGTGAGTTCCTGACCTCGTCGATGACAATCTGTTCAAAGAGCAGCATCGATTCACCCGGACTCCTCAGTAAAACCAAACTGCACAGTGGTATTGGGACAACTGAACAGCACCGAACAGCGAGACTAAAGTCACGATGCTTGAAAAAAGTCGCCTTGCTTAATGGAGGCTCTCTACAGTTTGGCTTTACCGACGCCTCGGAAAGCAGCATGCACGGCGATTTGAGGCGAAATCCGCGGATCCAATCTCCGGGTGTATTAGGGGCATGGCTTTGATCGTGATGGGTCATGTTCTGACTGCTCAACCAACGGAGTAGACACGAGCAGCAGGGCGTAGCGAAGTTAGAACCTATTACTTGTGAGCTCCGCGGATGTGATGTCAATCGAACTTGCATGAGTGATGACCGACATAGAATGCAGTTACAAAATCATCGTGCTGTCCGACACGGATCATCACGAGATGGAGAGACTGTACAACTACCAGGAAAACCTTAAGGAGGAAAGAAAACAGATACTAAAACTTGTTGCTCACCTTTATTTTCCCCGCAAGCCGCAGAACCATTTTCCCCGTAAGAGCAACATTCCGGAGGCGGGTCACAATGGGCGGGCACGACGGCGAGCAGTGGGGAGACTTGGGGACAAATTTTGACAATGCGTGTCCATAGTTCAGCTGACAAACCCACCGGAGTGGGATCGACAGAAACGTAAGAAGAAAAGGGGGGTGTCTCGTGGGATTTTGTCTGCATCCATTCGATTCCGTTCGAATCAGTGTCTGGGAATTCGTGTCGTTCCTGCCGGGCAACCGAGTGCAGTTGAAGGGCCAAATTCAGAGCACACGAGGGTCTGCAGGGATTGAAAATTAAAAATCAGACTGGATCCCTGGTGTACCCAGCTTGTCAACAGATTCCAAGAGACACAGAGCGGTCTAATAGGAAAAAGGAATGTTTTCTCGTTCATGCTAGGCGTACTTGGGCGTTTCAATTTGGCATTTATCCGATGAGTTTTTTTCGGAGGGAGGGGGATACGTTGGGCTCATGGACCAACGGCCACAAGAGGTTAACATCGTTAAGAGACAAGTACTCACCGGGTGCGAGTTGTTGATCAAGTGAATGTTGATCTATTCACCTAGGCTGGTAATTGATTTGCAAAGGCTTTGTTACCACTGCAGGAGACATCATCATTAGATGGGCTGCTCCTCTCTCCGTGCTTGAGTTTATGTAGATTGTCAAGATCACCCTTCAACCTGCTGTTTAGACGCCTTTTCCTGTAGGATTTTACTAGTCCACTAGATATCACACGTATTGATCACTCCTAGTTTTTGTGAACGGTTCACTCGCGATCTTAGTTGCGTCGTGCTGTGTCTCCCTGTTGTCTAGTTGGTTGGTTGCCTACCTGCCATTTCACCCAACCGCACACTGTTAAGATGACGAAACGTTTGCAAGTCACTAGTCAATCCCGGCAGATCACCAGTTGGTTGGTTGCCTACCTGCCATTTCACCCAACCGCACACTGTTAAGATGACGAAACGTTTGCAAGTCACTAGTCAATCCCGGCGAACAGATCACCAGCCATCTGGTCAACTACCGCCTGATTAAAGCTAGTGGAACAATATAGCACAAATGGAGATACACGTTGATGGAACCTAAATATCTCGAGGTGTGTGGATGTACGTTCAAAGACTCAGTAACAATAACTGTACTTATGCCAGAAAACCTGATTGGGTGTAAGGATATAAGAAATGAATCTGCTGAGTTTCCGAGTATTCAAACAGAGTTTTGCCTTCTAGATCCCTTTGATTCATTAATATTCAGACAGCAGTACATCTGAATTAGGCTTAGGGGCATTGCTTATAACCTACAGCAGTTCCCGTGAGTTGGAGCCGCCTATTGCGCCGTTCAATATCTGACTTGTACAGAGGTTGTTTTTATCCTTACTGAACAAACCATTAAGTGAAACATTTAGCCAACTGAAAGACTAGGTTGATTGAAATTTCAGTGGTTTTGTTGAATAACAATTGACGGTGAGATAAAAATGAAAAATCATTCAGCCGTAGCACCCTTTCGTTGCCTAGCTGCCATGCCACCCGAAGGAAACATGAGGACTGGGGTACGCCCAAGTTGCTCAGGCCTAGATAGGGGAAGTCGAGGGGTAGAGGTCGGACCTTCCGGTTAGTAAATTCGCGCCCTAACCACTGAGACATCTCGGTTTGGGAATCTTCCGCCAAACGTCTTGCCTCTGCCCCCTCTCTCCAATAAATTGAATTATTTCTGACAAAGTAAGGACGGGTCATTCGCAGACCCAAGGTTTTCTTATTCAACCACACATAATGCAACTCTCTTTCTAACCTGTTGAGTCTCACATCTCCGAAATTGCAGTCTTTGATTGTTTCAAGCCAGTACATTAAAGGATGGGGATGAAAAACCAAGGCAGCTTCACAAAGTGCGAAATTTCACTCGAATATATTGCTATTGAAAGAGAGAACGGGCCTTTTTTCGACGTTCATTATCTTCCCATGCTGCGAGATGATGAGAAGGGTCGAGTTGCGAACGGCTAGGATGTCGTGAATCACCGCATTACCGTCCCCTAGTCCGAGGAGCATTCCCGCAATGACTCGCTTCATCGAGTTGATAGTCATGTGCAGCTAAGGTAGCGAATAGCAACCACCTCTGAGTCGCCGTTCAAAGACAGAATAAGATCAATGGGAGATAAGTCTTCGGCCGTTAGTTCTAATACAGAGATATGGCCGTTGCTTCATTCGCTGGACCGGGCAATTTGATTGCACACGTTTCATCACCGATCGAGGTGACATCATCAGTGCGTTATTAGGGAACGCAGTGGAGCATAGTGATGGGTCGGTGGTTGTGGGTTGAGTAGTGTTGGTGTGTGTGCTGCTAGTCGGGGCCGAACTTCGGTCACGATTGGTCGTTCGGTCGGGCGATTCCATCGGCTGATTTGGTATCCTGTGTCCTGAATATTCGATGACCACGTGACCTTTGAGTTTGGCCAAGAAAGAGGAAACGCCCTCGAGTCGGATCAACAAAGGTCATGAACTGGAACCCAGAGGGGTCATTGACAGAGGCGCTCCAGCAGCGACCAGAATATGAAAACAGGGGAGACCAAACTCAATGGCCATGTGGCCATTGGTCAATCAGGACACAGGGTAACAGACTAATCACAGGAATGATAGATAACCCCGGCTAGCAGCGCGTATTTTAGCAAATAGGCAACATTACTCAACGCACAACCACGGACCCATCGCTCCACTACGTCCCCCAACAACGCACTGGTGATATCATTTCGATTTGTGATGAGACATGGCAACCAAACGGCACAGCGAAGCGAAGAAACCAACGACCATCTACTTGAGCAGCAACATTCTTCTCAGTAGCACACACACATATTCGGGTCGGTAAATGTAAGAAAGCTCCGATTTTGGGACTCGACACCACAAGCCTTAGTCAGAGTGGATTAGTCTGAAGAGTGATTGGTGTTCACTGGACATTCCGTCATCACAGCTGCTCGTAAAAATACAGCACTAGCCTAGTCACCCATGCATAAGGATGAACAATGTCTGATATGTAAGGTGAACAAAATCTGTCACTTGGCAACGTCATATCCGTTTGTGAGTGAGTGTGATTTCCCTTGTGCGGTCAAGCGAGTTTAGTTTCCTTGAGTTGTATGGGTGATTTGAGGGTAATCTCATGGAGAGATGATCCACAAGTACCCCTAAATGTGATAATTTCCTTACTGAGGGATTGGATGAAACTTTCGTAAGATCCATAGCGGCTGTCTGACTGGCACAGCAATTAGAAGCATGCGACAAAGTCGTAAGTTATCAGTGTGACGCATCTTCGTTCGGTGTTGTTAACACACCCTGATCAAACAGCGGGCCTATTTTGGCCATCATTCTCGACCTACGCTGGGTGTTCACAGTTCGAGATTCCGCACAACATCGTTGTACATGATATGGCAGGCAGACTTAAGCGGACGCAAATAACGATGCAGTGTTGTAGTCTTAACAGCGATTCTCGCAGCTATAGTATGAATTTATGGTGCCTTAAACATCTTTCCGACGATAGAGAAACCTATCCCACTGGATGAAAAACCATGAATGGACAAACATGTCAGTGCTGTGCACGGTAAAGCCCCGGAAAAGAGGAAGGTACGGGAATTTTGTGAGCAGATTAAGCAAAGCAGTGAATGTGACAAGCTAGTAGACCACAGCGATCGAGATACTGGTGATTACACGCGGTTAACAGCGATTCTCGCAGCTATAGTATGAATTTATGGTGCCTTAAACATCTTTCCGACGATAGAAAAACCTATCCCGCTGGACGAAAAACCATGAATGGACAAAGATGTCAGTGCTGTGCACGGTAAAGCCCCGGAAAAGAGGAAGGTACGGGAATTTTGTGAGCAGATTAAGCAAAGCAGTGAATGTGACAAGCTAGTAGACCACAGCGATCGAGATACTGGTGATTTACACGCGGTACATTTGCCCTACTGATGCGTTGTAAGTAGGCAGATTATCAAAAACGCAAAGGCCACGGTGAGCTGGCACAAGCCATCTCATGGTGCTTCAAATCGAATCAGTTCAGGGCGGGCGTCACGTACCTACAAGTAGATTCAAATAAAAGCCACTAGGCACGGAGGAAATTAGAAGCACTTGAAGCTATTTATAACAGAAGAGCGCCGAAATTGTTATATATGGTATCATAACCTGGGTACCGCATTTGAAGGGATTTTGCACAACTGACAGAGCGAATCGAACTAGTTCAGAGAAAAGCAGAAAGCTGTTGGATTTTCGGAGGAAGGTCTGGAAACCACCGTATGTATACCTGGTTTTAAGAGTAACTTTCATCTGTTTCCACCTCACCAAACAAGCGAGGAGAAGCTATCCCGATTTATTTGAGTAACATGAAGCTAACGACCCATGTTGACTCTTCTGGTTCCACAATTAAAGCAAAACAGTCTTCTCTTACGGGGCCTTTCCACATTGAAACGAGGACATCATAAAGCCCAGCTTGTGATTCCCGAATTCTGTTCTATTGAAAGGCATGGTAACTTCTCTGTGGAGACAGTCCGGAGTCAAGGGCCACCAAGGCCAACAAAACCGAACATGGAATTTACCAGCATCACGTGGCAATCAACTCGGTTCAGTGAGAACAGCCAACGTAAACGTTTTCGCCAGACCTCCAATGTCGGTGCACTCATTACGTTCAAGGCTTTGTTTTCAGGTCAGTTCTGTGCACTTTTCACCAGTCTGTACGCATGATGTAATGGGTCTGCAACAAAGTTTTACCGACAGACAGGTTGTGCCAGCTTATCTGATACAGAGTAGTCTGTGTTAGCACACTAAAACAAGTGGCGACAAGGAGCCAGGTCATATTCTCCCCTGTGGCAAGCATCCGCACCTCAATACCTAGCCACAGAGTTGTAATCGCACCTAGTGTTGGAGTCAGGATATTGGAGGCTTCATACGTGGGATCAGCAGATTGGTCGCGATCCTCAGGTTGGGGACCACTAGTGTGAACGAACAGTCCTAGAAAGCACGAAAAATTCGATTACGGCCGCGTAAATTTAACCATATTCAGTCAGTTGTACTGTCGTGAAAAACCACAATGTTATTCGAGCTGGAGAAAAGCATGTTCGAGTCCGATTCCGTCAGCCAATTGGATAGGAATATTCTAGAAGATGGTGTTCATTTCCTTTGGTACATCCTGATAGCATAAAAAGCATGGAAACATCTGACTGACAACCTATGTTCACGGCGATGGTTTACTGCAATATGTCGGTGAGCAGCTGCAGAGGGAACTAATAAAATCTGTGAACGTCTCCCAAACGTGATGTTGTCTAGATCGCACGAGCGAACACACAGTAGGAAGAAACTAGTTCGATTCCCCGAGGCATTCGTGTTCATGGGCAGAGGTGAGAAAATAACAGTTGAAAGAGCAAACAAGATGACTCACAGTCCAGCGTCCAGGCAAAGTTCACATAAAAATCGAAGAATGTCCCGGTCAGGGGTACTGACAGATGAATGGCCGAGATCTGACTCGGCGGTTGCCATTTGGAGTCGCAGGTTTTCGAAGCCTTCGAAAGAAATTG